AGGAGCCCGGCACATCATTCTCCAACCCCCAAACGCTCCATGATAAGACACCGGGAAGGATTTTCCTGCACCCGTTAGTGTAACGGAGTCTCAAATCCCTTAACGAAGTGGGAAAATCCCGCTAACGTCCTCTCCAGGTGGGAGAGCTGGGAACGAGCTCCAGGCGGCCGCTCCATCAGCGGCCCAGAGCAGAATAAAAGCACACCTGGCCATCAAAATAAGGCAGATTTTCAGGGGAAACAACCAAAAAGAGGAAGAATTATCCGTATGGGAAGATGTGGTAGATTTGGCTCCGGGCTACGGACACAGGGGAAGCAACCACCAAGTCCCGCAGGAAATCTGCTTGCCCAGGGGGAAGCCGGGGGGAAGCCACAGCCTGGCTCCGTCGTTCTCCCGATCCCCTCAGCCGCCGTTTCAGGACGGCGACGGAACGAACGCCCTTTTTTGTTCTGCCAACTCACTGTCTCCGAAGCTGTCGTCGCCCCTGCGGGGTGGGTAATCGTCAAAGCTCTCGGTGGCGGCAGGACGGGCCCTCCAGTCGCTCTCGAACCTCTCCGAGTCACGGAAGCGATCCCGATCTCTGCCAAAGCAGCGATCGTCCCGATCTGCCGGCAAAGAGAAGGAAATTTCAGTTTGCAGGGAGGAATTCTCTTAAATCCCTCCGTAACCGGGCTGATGGTCGACTCGGTGTCAAGTCACGGTTACCAAGCCAGCCGATGCAAAGACGGGAAGCAGAACGCTCACCTTTATCCTGAGCTTGATCGGCAACATCCACTCGTATCCTTCTGTTCCCTAGAGACTGAAAACGAGAGCGAAAAATCAGCCTCGCGGCCCGGGGATGCGCAGAGGGGCGAGAAAAGCCGATCCCAGGGCGACGCCTGAGCGCGGAGCGGGCAGCTCCTACCACGCACGGCTTCCACGCCCTCAAAAAGCATTTTTGTCCCCGTTTATGTCTTTCTCAAGCAGGGAAAGGCATTGCTCCACAAGAAAACGGTTCCGAATGCATCCCTAGCACGGGAACGTGCCCGATTTGATGTGGAGGGGGGGAGTATTTGGGGCGAGGGGCTCGCACCGTACCAGTTCCTGCAGCGCCAGGGCTGGGACTCACCTCTTCATTGAGGCTGAGAGCCTGGAACAAGGAGTCTATGTCTTCAAATTCGGCGTAACCAAAACCTTTCAACGTCTCCGGAGTGGTAGGCTCCCGCGGCAAACGTACAGCGCTTATCTGCAGGCGGAGAGAAGAAGCGGAAAGCGCCGGTGAAGGTTTTTCCCTCCCCGACGTTAAAACACGACGGGCGAGGATCGCGTTATCGGAGACGACGCAAGTCATCGCTATCAAGGGGCTGAATAAATCCCCTTGACGAGGAGGAGGAGGGTTCAATTCCCCCTTCAAACACACCACAGGCTCCCACTAAAAACGCCACCGATATTGGC